CGGCGGTAGCGTTACAGTATGTAAATTTGATATGACTGTGCACGGAGCACATGCGTACGGAAAGATGAATAGCAAACATTCTCAGAAAAATGTTGCTTCCTGCTCAATCTGGTAACGTGCTAACTGGGTACCAACAACGTTTCAAACTAGAAATTCTCATGCGCGCACGCGAGCCCTAAGCGTAGTTTAAGACTGAATTTGGAAAGTTTAAGCTACACTTGGACATAGAAAGGCTTCGTAAATTCCAGCTTTCTAGCTTAAATTGTTGGCGAAATAGCTTTTCGTTACAAATATCTTTGACGTGCCCGGATACGTGACGCCAAAGGCCACTTTGCAGCCGTGTGACTGAGTATGAAAAACAAATGTTCTCGTAAAGTCAGGGCTTTCTAATTGGCTTGGTTCCTGAGATGGCTTTTTGCCAGTAGTGTCCCAGTTATAACTCTAGCGTATTACTATGTATGACACAGGGGTGCGTGATGGATGAGTTTGAAACCTTTAGCCACACAAAAACATAGAACATTCCTGCGAAATTTCAGCTTCTTATTTTGACTGGTTCTTGAAATCGTTTTTCGACCAAAAATTTTCGTCTTTTCTTTTCGCTTCTGTGCGTCAGACCAGAACTTAAGCGAACGACAATTTTAAAATGGGAGCTGCACATGGAGTGGAAACATTCTCGCAAAATTTCAGCTTTTTAGCTACTTTCGTTCCCCAGTTGAAGATGAGTAACAGAGCACACACACACACACACACACACACACACACACACAAAGAGACGTATATACATATATGCATGCGCACGAACAACTTTCTGTCAATATGCGTATTTGCATTTGCGTGAATATTGCAAAGACATACAAAAACAAAAGTCAACCTCGACTAGAACCTATTGATAAACGAATTAATGTGTGAACTCGAATACATCGTGCTTTTCCAAATAAACTAACAATATAACTAATAGATCTTATTTGATTCACAAGTAAAAATTATATAAGTAGCTTTCAGTGGCCAAGTTCTACTACAAAGCAATACAGTTGGGAATAATAAACCAAAAAATAAAGGGAAAACTACCTGAGATTATAACCAAGACAGAATATAAAATTTAGGCTGGAACGCACCGGGCCAGCCGGTGCGATCATGCGTTTTTGCACTATTTCGTGCTGTAGCAAGGTCACGAGGAACCACAGAATCTGTG